ATAATTCCAGTTTACTTTATTTTTGTAATTTTGACCATCATTCCTATTATAGTCATAGCATTGTAAAGTTAAGTTAATTGTGGGAACGCAGAAACATTTCTAAAAAGGAGTCCAAAGGGAACAAATCACGAGTGGTCAGCCCATCAGTTTTAGTTTTAAACAAACTTACCAGCAAATAAACAACACATATTAGCTAAAATTATTTGCAAGAGACACTTTACAATTAAAATCCTATTCCTTAGATCAGGCCAAACAAATATGTGCACACAGTTTTCTCAATGCAATGAGCAGCATTTCAGGTGTGCTCCATCTTTAGGTTTTCCTTTCTGAATAAAGCTGTTTAGATACTGAACTGGCTGAACTGTTGGCTTGTCTGAAACCCGTCTGATTGTCTGACTGCAATGTCACTGTGTTCCTAGATTTTCAGCATGTTATAATAACCAATAGAAATAACAGCCAAAACTAAAAAAATAATACTGAAGTCGTAATAAACCAGGATTATCCTTTAAAGCTGTCAGCTGCTGTGGGGTAGAAATGCTTAGAAATTATCACCATCCTCAGTCAAGTTATTATCAAAAGTGATTTGGGGTTAAATCCCGACATCACCTCTCCCACCTGCTGCGATTCCCACCCGTACAAGCACCCTCCCCAAACTCTTCATTTAATCAAAAGGAATGATTTCTCAAAGAGATTAACAGAAGACCATTTTATCTCTCTCTCTCTGTTGGCCTTACAGTAGCGGTATTAGCGTGCCTGTCACGTGCGGCAGCCACAGTGTGCGTGGGAGGATGAGTGACTCCTTATGTGAATGTGACATCAAACTTGCAAGCAGAAACGAGGGTTCTCTTATCAATGAATGCTTAACCATATACGCAAACACACACACGCACATGCACCTCATGTGCATACATTGAGTCGGCTCCTTTCTCGTTGTAAATCTTAATACACAGCAGCTGCCTATTACAGACTGATTACCAGTCTATCAGTGCCTGTGTATGACAGTGAATAAGCAACGGGCGTCTAGTTATTGATCCACAGATGGAGAGCCTGAACCTCAGAGCAGAATGCATAAGAATCTCCATCACAGACCTGCTGGAACTTTAATAGACATTTTCAACGGCATCCAAGCTGTTATGTGATGAAAAAAAAAAAAAAAACTCCCAGCATTAAACTAATATGTGGTTAGATGGATGAGTGTTGCTCCGTGGTTTAGCTGGTGGGAGTAATAGCTGGTGTGGGGGCATTCATTGGGTCTGATTCCCACAAGACTCCCATAAATAGTCAATGTGCATCGATTGCAAATGGCTTCAGATGAAAACCCCGGCTAAATGACCGTGGTACCATTATATTAGTGAAATGACAAACAGCAAAACAGATATCATGAAGCATGAAAGCATTTCTGATTGATTGTTTCAGCCTCGCAAAGAGGGTGAGGCTATGTGTGTTTGTGTGCCTTGCGTGGGTGTGTGTTTGTATGTTTATGTGTGTTCTCTGTGTATTGGATTGTTATTGTCTGAGTGTGTATTTAACATTCGGTGTGTATCTACTCGATGCAAAACCATGCAGACTATTTCGTCGATCCCACTACGACTCTCATTAATGTCATTAATTGGCTGGAGCCGACACACACCTGGGTCCCTGGGTCTATCTCAGAAGCCTAAGGGACGACAAACATAATGTGTACACTATAGACAGAGCTCAGATGGGCCTCTGTTTACTTTTGAAGAAAACCACTCCTAGGAAGTACCAGTTGCTATTTTAGGAAAAAACCCTTTCTTGCCAAGGGTTAGATGAGAAGATCCATACCACTCTCATTTCTGTATTATATGCATATAACCTTAAGCCCTGTTTCTAACTACACTCTTTGTCCAAGGAAACACTGGGATGTTGAGACTTCACTAAGAAGCCAAGGACATGATCACTGCACCACACTATCTGTCTGTTTACTGCCCCAGAACTCAGGAATGTGTAACTGTGACGCTCCAACAGGGATAAAACGATACTGCTTCTTCAAATCTTCACTCTTTTGGACTTTCACATACGAGAGTGTGTGACGGTTGCGTTGAGTCCATTCATGTAGCATCTTTACAGGTGTGTGTGGTTTTACAATGACCAGGTCAAAGGGTCATGTAAGGTTCTTTTAAAGAAAATAATCTGCTCAAAATTTCATCCAAATCACAATAAAATTCTTGCTGTTACTGAGTTCAGTTTGTGTTCATTAAACAGTTTTTGTATGTAATATGAAATACCCATAAAATATGTAGAAGTCAGGGTTCGCGGTTTAATAAATGATAGAAAAGGGCATTACCTTAGAATGAGCTGTTTTCTCTGAGGGAGTGGGTCTTCTCCTTTTGAGTCTGCCCATGTTGAACTGCATACAGTAGCCCAACGTGGACAAAGCAAATAGTACTAAATTAGATCCCCCTATATGCTTGGGATGGGGGATGACTTCACACTTCCCATGACGGTCATGGTTACAACAAGATACGGGTGTAGACTGGGATGCTGATATCAGTCAGTAGTTGGGGGTGGCCTGAAAGACTAAAATTAATGTCTGACTATATAATGAAAATCCATACTAAAATATAATGTATGATATGCAGGTTCTTGCCTAATTTGATGGCCAGGATAATTTATAGCCTTTTAATTTTGTTTTTAACAACATTTCACACATTTGAAATTTTGACTGGATAAATCTGATAAAACTCTTTCCTGCCATAAATACTAGTGTACACATGTAATCCAAGTAAAAAAAAGGAGAAGTTTATAAGTTTTAACACTCAATTAGTTAGCAGTAATTGAGAATTCCGTACACTTTTGAAATACATGACAAATAAAACAAAACAGATCTCTTGTGGCTCGATACCACAAAAGCATTGGGGGTGAACTGGGCCACTTTAAAAATGCCCACCAAAATAGTTAGCTAAAATGATTTCAGCTTTCCAGGCTTATAATACACAGCAACACAACTAATGTTGGATAAACCTCTCCACCTATCAGTGCTGTTCCTGTAAGCGATGGCTCAAAAATTTGGTGGGTGGGACCCAATGGCAACCCTCTTAGCAGAAAATAATGTAACTGCTTTTCCTTCAAATAGCCAACTTGCGGGGCTCCAGAGTGAGTCATTCATAATCCCCATATTAAAATGTCAACTTTACAGCCAAATAAACATGTATTACAGCTAAAAGTGTCTCCCAAAGGTTTGACTTATACTGGGTCGAAGAGTTATGAATGAGCCCAGCTGGGTGGGGGTTGTTACTTACTGACCACTCTGAAGAGCAATAAGGAGCCAGAAGACATTTTCTGTATCTTTTCAGCCATGTTAGGTGGTGCATACATGCCCGAGAACAAGACGAGTTGCATAATTTGAGCAAACCTGCAACTCCCAGATCGTTGTGATGCCTGGTGGACCAAATTCGGGGCAATATCCTAGGTTGACGACGTGTAGAAGCCCTCATTCATTTCTTTGGCTGCTATTTTACTTTTCCATTTTCCCCATACATTTCAGCTCATGCCAACATTTCCTCTGTGAGATTAGATTTACGAAATCATTCAGATCAACTGGCTGCAAATGTGGTTGGGGGACTGATAATCAACAATGATGGAGAACAGCCTTGATTGATTGTGACGACCCATCTTAAAGGCGAAAGAGTGGTGGGGAACTGAATACCCAGGGCACACTGATTCTTTCCTCTACTCTCTGCAGAACTCATGTTATGAGACACAGTCCCAGACCTGAACCTGTTTCTTTAGGACCCCCGGAGGATTTCTTTGCTGTCCTCTCTTGTCATTAAATGATTGAGTACTCTGTAACTGAACCCTTTAGCTGCTGTACCAGGGCAGTCTGTGGTGAAATCGTGCAGAGTTCCTTGCTCACAATTACTGCTGCCTTGCCAGGCTTATTTTGGTTTATTTGTTTTTCCCCATTAAATCCTTACCGTTTCTTTTTTTTTTAACAAAATTTAAAGAGGCCCATTTTTCCATTGTTAAAGTAACCAGTCAAGTGTTTTGTTTATGTTTATGTTTATGTTTTATGTTTTTTTTATTATTATTATTATTATTATTATTATTATTATTATTATTATTATTATTATCATTATTATTCATCTCGAACTGTTTTCACAGGAGGTTCAGTTCGGTATGCGACTGCAACAAGTACTGTCAGAATAATCTATCTATGTCTACCGGCAAAGTTCTGGCAGTGCACAAGTAGCAGCAGTAACATGCTAGTCGGCTTAGCCAGGTTAGTCAAGCTCATGCAGTGTTGCTGCTCCACTGTATGAAAGCATTACAGTTTCCTGGTTAGTTACAGCGAAATGAAGGAAAAAGCAACGATTAGTACGCAGACATTGTTCAACTGAACTGGATGTGTGCGGAAACACTGGAATGTGTAATTGTCAACAAAAACAGAGTGGAAGGCAAATCCTTCTCCCTACAGCGTTCAAGCAGCCTTTTACTACAGATTGTGATTGTGCCAAAGCAATAACTAATGCTATATAGTGTTTATAGCTGAAGATATGTGACATACATACTACTTGTAGAGAGTACAGGATTTAAGCATATGGTCAAATAGCTTGAGTCCCTCTACATGTGTGTATTTTAGTCAGTTAGTTGTGCCTGTATAAACAAGCACAAGCTACACCTGTTCTTATGATGCAGCATTACTGGCATTTAGACTTAGACTTAGACTT